GTAACCTAAGCATTTTTTCCAGTATACCCAAAAAAACAAAATCGGAAAGTGTGTGTCATTTTCTTTTTTTTTAACCTTTTCCGAGACTATGCCCTTCGACTTTTACTCTTTGCCTTTGGTCTCTCCTACTTGTGAAGGACAGATTATATGGATGTCATCTATAAATTGTAATACTGAATCAAACCTCCTGCACTATTCCATTTTTTTTTTTTTTGCAGCTGTTTACTTTCTCAGTCTCAACATCCCTCCATCGTACAATACTACTAAGTAGTACCAAAATACGACTAAATCTTTTGTTCTTTAAAATGACGAAAGAATGAAAGTTTAAAACTATTAGGTGTCAGCGATTGCAAAAAAAAAAAAAAAATTAAGATTAGAGGGTACTACGCTTCAAATCTTTATCTATGACTCCAATGATACATATTCCTTCGGTTCCAAAATAAGTAGCATTATTCTAGACTTTGCACACAGTTTAAGAGAATACTAAATAGGGTAGTTTAATTACTATAATATCCTCAACCAACTCCATTAAATAAATGCTCGCCGATAATATTATTTCTTTTGAGGGTATGTTTAAAAATTTTGACGAAAAATACATTGAAATCCGAAAACGACACTTATTTTAGAATTTCTTCATTTTGCTAAAACAATACTTATTTTGGAACACAGGGAGTAGATAACAAAAATGAAACTTTGAAATGCACAATGTGCTAAGCAGAACTCCATAATTTGCATCACCTTGCCTTGGAAAAGTGGAAAAAAAAAAAGGCTAAGGATGTGGAGTAAACAAGAAAGCCAAAAGCATATACGAAATGATCTTCCAATACATGTGAAACCTCTCCATACTAAGGATTAAATGTTCAAATCGGGACATTCGTTGACATCCTCTCGTGAATCAACTATTTTTGTGGAAAATAGTGCCATTACTTTAGTTTCAACTCTCAACTGCAAATTTCTTTCAAATTCCACGAACCAAATTCCAGAAGTACTTTGGCTTTGTTGTCAACATTTCTTCCTGGAAAATGTCTCCGTGAATAAATGTATGTTACGAAGTAGCACTAGAGAAAATTGTTATAGTATGAATGAAACTGAACATATATTGTTCTTGAAATTTTCAAAGAAGTTAATTAACACTATAGCCAACGTAGATATAATCATTTCAATTTTTGTTGTTCAATTCACTTCACTATCGGATCCATCGATATATATATATATATATATATATATATATATATATATATGTACTTGCGAGTTGCGAGAAAGAAATGTCTAATTACATATGGACACAAACAATTTGATACGAAAATAGATGGCAACAAATTAAAGAAAGGTTGATCCTAGTGGAGATATGGAACACCAAATTGATATATAGGTTCAAAAATTCAAATGCATATCCGTGATGAAACAAAAAAAAGAAAGAAAGAAGGAAAGGTGATGAATCCTCTCCTTGAAAGCTCAAGAGTGGCATCATCTTGGACCACCATTGATCTGCTTACATAGAGTTTATTTTTGTACGTCCATATATACCCATATAGGAATTTCTTTTCTTCTTCTTTTTTTTTTTTCATTTTAAAGTCGGAATCATGAGGTATTTGAAATCGATAAATGCCTCATTTAAAACTTTCGAATTGGAGTTTTGTTTTTTTATCGCCATTAATTAAGATCCAAAGAATTAGCAACGTCCCAAATTAATACCATATATAATCTAATAAACTAGTATGTATATATGTGTGTATAATGTTTTCCTTTCTGTTCGTAGTAACAATACTATTATGCTGCAGTTACCTAGAAGTTCATCATAGGATCATGGTCTGCAACATGCAGAGATCAACCAGCATCCATATTCGACGTAATGGATGACCTACGCAACACGCTTCTTGAAAATATGGCATCCATTCGCCATATATGCAAACTATATAATAAAAACAGAAATATTCCTTCTCATTTCATACTTATATAAATGTTTAGTTTAAAATTGTGCCTCAAGAATATATGACCGGACGGAGTATTATCTAGGACTAGCTATATAGCACGCGTTCAGATTAGGCAATCGAGATGTAAATTACATATTAAAAAAAAAAAAAAAGCAACATACACAAGTCTGAAATTCCATGAACAATCGCTTGAACTATAAAATAAAATAGTAAGATGAAAGATTTTTTTTAGTATTTTTTTTTTGGTTAACTTAATATTCCCTATTCTAAAATTAGTGACACTCGCAGTACTTAATACCCACATTATTGTAGTTCTCTATCAGTGAAAAATAATTGATGCTATGTGTCTCGCATCATAATATTATTTTGACTAATCTATTAAGTATTCTTCCATTTCGTCATTATTACGATTAATCAATGATGCTAATTTAACATCAGAAAAATAACGCAATGATAATGAGGCCCAATAATGGAGTCAAATCAAAATCATATTATTAGATATTTTTAAGAGAAAATTTTGGTGAAGCTACATTGCCGTTGATAATTTTAAGGTTATGGTCCTGTCTTCTATTAAAAAAATCTTTGGATTAGTTTAAATTAATCATAATCATAGAATTTTCTTTTAATGTGCAAATAATGTGCGCTAAATGTTCATTTTCTGTACACTTATTATTATATTAATACCAAATAAATGCATATATATATATATATATATATAAAAGATGGTTCAATTATATCAGTGTAGCTGCAATGTTTTGCTAAATGTGCAACCTTAGTATTAGTACAAGTTACTACATGTATACCTATTTATAAAATGCTAACAACTAATTTTGTTCATATCAAAAAAACTAATTTTTTTTTTAGTTATTTATCTCAAATATATGATGAATTTACTAAACTAACATTATTACATTAGTTGGTTGAAGTGAAGTTTGAGAAGATTAGTTTAGTGAGTAAACAATGAGAAAAACCTATTTAATACCCCCTTCATTTCAAAATATAAGTCTCTTTAGATTTCACACGTAAACTAAGGAAAAAAATTATTTAACAATTAATTTGTATATCACAAACCTGTTATAAAAATTTATGTCCAACATAAAATGTAATTGATATGTCACTTTATTATTGGTTAAACAGTCATAATATAATGGAATTATATAGTTAAAATACTAAACGGGACTTTAGAATTTTACAAAAATTCTTGACAAAAGGTTTTTTTAGTTATAGCTAGCCATGTGGTGTGGGGAGTGTGGAAAACAGCTAAAGTAACAGGGAGAATGAATTGTCTTAAAGGGATCCTCATTAATGCCCAATATAAATGATAAATAGTCATTGAATTGGTCAAACAAGCAAGATGTTTGCCTCTCTAAGGATGAAAAATGAAGAATCAATGAGAAATCATCATAAATTTTGGATGGAATTGACCACCCATCCTCTATGAACAAAAAGTGGTGTTAATTAGACATAATTTGTGGTTGAACACCTAAATTGTTGATGTCAATTAAATGGTTTCTTCTTCAAGTCACATTCTTTGTGCTATCAAGATGTCAATTATGTTGAATCAAATTTATCATAGTCATTTCGGTTCCCATCATGGTTACTCTAATCGGAAGCAACTTTTTTTTTTTTTTTTTTGTTTGCAGTAGTAGTAGTAGTTACAAATTTACAATCCATACAAACAATCAAAAAGCATTTGATGCCATTAGCCCAAAACCGAATTCCCACGTGTAGCTGCTTCTACGAGTTGTTAAATGAAGATCATTAGTAGCAGTACAATCTATCAAAAAAATATCATTAGTAGAAAAACACTTTTAAGTTTTAATATGAATAGATTTATATAACGATAGTGTAGATACATAGATGATGTACACAAGTCGAGATCGAGATGAATCCATAGATGATGATACATAGATGTGAGTGCTTGATAACCGGAGTTTCAATATCAAGCTTAACAAATAAATACGTGCTCACTGATAAGTTTTAGAACCAATTTACTTGTTAAGTGTTTTCTACAGTTATACATATAACACGATGTGAGATAACTTTCTTATTTATGACCCTAATAATTTTAAAGAAAATTATTCATGCTATTCGACTTTTATGTTAAGATCATGAGTATGTTTATCTGTCTCACATCAATATCTAGAAGCGATCGATAGAGTAATTTTTTTTTTTTTAAAAAAAAAAGATCACTCCAGTGAATTCTAACAAATAAGTAATTTGGTTCCGAACCTACCACCAAATTCATACTTACTTATTAGGTTTGATATTAGAACTCTCTGGTCCTGTTCTCCGGGCCGGAAGTCTAACAATCACCTACAAACACTTGAGAAAGTTTTGATTTAGAAGATTATTTGCCCCGGCTGTGTAAATTAATAAAATCTGGCTCTCTCTCTCTCTTTTTTTTTTTTTTGGTGATAGAAAAATCTGGCTTTTGAGGAAAGGGGTAATGAATGTTTTACTTGCCAAATAGCCGAAGGAGAAAAGCAGCAATAAATATGGACACAAGATATGGTCCCAACACAAAGGATACTCATTTAATTGGCCCACATGCATGAGGCATGATGAGATCAATTTTTATAACAGAAACGTCTCCCACCATCTGATTGGTTATTGACCTTTTCATTTTTCTTTTTATTTTTCTCCTCTCCCCTCATCAAGAAGACATGAGTCTCACTCCCAGTCTCAGCTGACCCCTGTTTTTTTCCTTAAACAATTTGCATGGAGTATTATTATTATCCTTGTTTATCCGGACAAAATACAAGATTACTGTTCAAATTAATCCCAGTTCAAGTCTGATTAGATCCTTTTTTGTATATCTACGTACGTTGGTTGACCTTTGGAAGTTTGAAGTACTCACGTACCAACATAATTAGCATAATTCTGGAACGTAAATGTTCATCATGACCAACATTCAATTATTGCCTTTAAACTGGAATGGTTTTTAACGAACAAGTTTCTAGTAGTAGTACTGTTACGTACGTTAGTTTTATCATGCAAAACTTAAAGCGATTCACAGGTGCTGCTAAAAAAAATTTCAAGTTAAAAGGCTATCGGGAAACATCAAATCACTAAAAGGGTCTCAATTGCTAAGAACAGAGAGAGCTTTGAAACTTGTAAATTTCAAGTTGCTTCGTTATTTCCAGAAATGGGCACTGATGAGGAGATTAAAGCCGTTAAGGATTGGTTAAAGTGGAACTACTAATGAAACCAGAAAATTAGCAAAGTATTTAGTAGTACTATGACTATATCATCAAGAGAGAGAGAGAGAGAGAGAGAGATAGTAGAAGCAACATTGAATGCCAACGCGGTTTCGGTGAAGGCACCAGAGAGAAAGAAAGAGAGAAAGAAAGATGCAATTTTTATTTTTTTGACAGAGCTGACTTTAAGCTAAGAAGAGTAAGTAAGCAGAGCCATGGGAGTGGAGTAAATGCAGTTTTGCTGTCACCACCCCTTTTGACTCTTTGAATTACTCTCCTCCTTGTTTTAGGTCAGCGTTTTTCTTTGCACTTTATGAGACCTTTTTTTCTATATATTGCATTGGTGCAGATCATTGAAACCTTAGCGTTTAGACCTTTGTCTCTCACCATTTCCCAAGAACCCCCCCCAAAAAAAAAATAAAATAAAAAATCACATACACACACAGAGTGAGAGATATTAGCAGAATATATAGCCAGTACAGCACTGTAGTATAGTACAGAAAACAGAGCAAAAAATAGCCACTTTACTTTACTACTACTGATACAGCTTTAGTGCTTTACTTAATATACTGAGAGGGGAAAGCCAAATTTTGGGGTACAACATTGGTATTTTAGGGAATTGAGTGGGAGAAGAAAGAACATAAGGACCGGATCAAGAAGGATACATAGGAAAGGAACAAGGAGTGGTGTGTGAATTGAATTTGTGTGTTGAAATGGGAAGACCTCCTTGCTGTGATAAAGTTGGAGTGAAGAAAGGGCCATGGACTCCTGAGGAAGATATAATGTTGGTTACTTATGTTCAAGAACATGGTCCTGGAAATTGGAGATCTGTTCCTACCAATACAGGTACCTTCTTTTTCTTTTTCTTCCTTTTTTTTGAGTTTTTCAAAGAGTAAACAAAAGGGTTGCGGATTCAGAGATTTGATAAGTTTTTTTTTTTTTTTTTTTGGTGTGAAATTCTCCAGGATTAAGAAGATGCAGTAAGAGTTGCAGGCTGAGATGGACAAATTACTTAAGGCCTGGAATCAAGAGGGGTAACTTTACTGATCAGGAGGAGAAAATGATTATCCAGCTTCAAGCCCTTTTAGGCAACAAGTATGGTTTCTTTTTTCCTGGAGTTAGTTTGATGTATTGCTGTGAATGAATGATTTGATTGATTGATCAATTCTCTGTTCCCTGAATTTTCAGATGGGCTGCCATAGCTTCTTACCTGCCAGAGAGAACCGATAATGACATCAAGAACTTCTGGAATACCCATCTGAAGAAGAAGCTTAAAAAGCTTCAATCGGGCTCATCAGATAACTCCACCATTAGTAGTACTAAAAATGGGTTCTCATCGTCTTCTGCAATTTCCAAAGGCCAGTGGGAAAGGAGGCTCCAAACCGACATCAAAACTGCCAAACAGGCCTTACAAGATGCATTAACTTTGGATGGATCGAAACCTTCCCCTGTTCTGCCTGATTCTTGTACCAGCCCCGATTTGAACCCGGGTAAACCCGGCAACAACAACGGGTTATCATCATCATCATGCACAACCTACGCATCAAGCTGCGAAAACATAGCAAGATTGCTTCAGGGCTGGGTGAAAACTCCATCTTCCTCATCGGTCAAATCAGAGCAATCGAAATCTTCGAGCACTCAGCACTCTTTCTACAACGCCGCCGCCACCGCCACTACGCCGGCGGATTGTACCTCCAGCGACGAGACTCCGAGCGCTGAGAGCAAAACCGGGATCGATTTGACGGAGGCATTCGAATCCCTGTTTGGGTTTCAGTCTTTGGTTGAGTCTTCAACGAGTTCGGAATTCTCTCCGGCGAGTGGCTCCCCTGAGGCAAGTATTTTCCAGGACGAAAGCAAACCGGATCTGGTGGGAGTCGGAGTTCAAGAACATCAAAATCCACAGCAAATCCCTCCTTTTTCGATGCTGGAGAAATGGTTGCTGGATGAAGGAGCCATCCAAGCAAAACTCGATTTGGCTAACTTCCCGTTTGAAGAAGAAAGTGCAAGTTTATTTCAGTAACGAAATCATAAGATTTTTCTTTTAGAATCTGGTAGGTTTTATCTGAGAAGAAATTCCGGCGACTCTCTTGTTAATTTCCTTTTTCAGGCGTTAGGCATTGACAATTATTATTATTATTTACTTTCTGGGTTTTTTTTGTGGGAGTTTTGAAGATCTAAGATGAGTTTGAATGATCATCTTGAATCTTCAGTAACTTCTTCAGCGAATTAGGGGAATATGAGCTAGCTAGAGCACATATTTTTCTGCATCAATTGTTCAGATTTTAATCGTTGACAATTAGAGCATATATGTTAGTTCTGTATTTGTTTAAATTCCTCCCAAAATGATATTTTGTGAATTTTTTACATAAACTTTTCGTAACATGCCTTAATTCGTCGATTTTTTTTAGCACGTTTGGCCGGAACCGCCGTGAAACTTTCCAACTAATCTGATTACAGCGTAGCCAATTCTTGGAGGCGGTGGCTGGCCGGTGGCCGGCTACTACAAGGTGATGACAAAAACTGGATGAGACAATGCTTTGATTACATGAGGAATGTTGTAAAAGGATTTTATTTTCATTTTCTTTTTAAGATAATAGAAGTGATTTGAAAGACAGCGATTGATGATCACATAGCTTTAGTTGTACTCTTTCCATCTCATAATTGTTGTCCTATTTGTATTTTCATTTCTAGTTCAAAACGTATTAAAAGTAAAATTTCAAATTAGGTAATAATTTTCGAACATAGAGAGGAACATTCATTTTGTTACCCTTTTTGTTTTCATTTTTTTTAATGCCTAGTTCTTATTTTGTTTTTAATGCCAAGAACTTTGTGAGACCTTATGGACAGAAGCTGGGAGGTTAAACTGTCTCACATCCAATATGAGAAAAATTTTGCAACCAATTATATGGTTGTCTTGGCGGTGTCAAATCCACCTAGCCTGTTTAGGTTGGATTTTCCACCACCAGGGATTAATAATTGGCTTTTTCATAATATCATAGAGGTAACACACCCGAGAAATATAATAGTATAGGAGTTACAACTCATTTCCCTTCTATTCAAAATAAAATAAAATAAAAATACCAAGAATTTTGTGTTGTGGTTTTTTTTTTTTTTTTTAAAGGTGAAAACGAGGGATTACCTGTAGTAGCCCGAACTAGGGTAAATAAAAGGGAGAAAAGAAACCATATGATGTCATGTTTTAGCCAACCTCTAACATCAGAAGGAGGGGAATCCGACATTATTAGTTCCACTGGGTTCATTGTAGTGAGTCTAAGATTTAGGCATTTAGCTAAATAAAGGATTGCAAAATTACATTAACGATGAGTATGGTTAAGTATTAAATCCCAATCAATATTTAAAATATCTATATTTCTCTTTTCATCTTTTTTATATCTCTCAAACGATCACAAACCCTGGTTAATGCTCCACCCAGTCGGTGATGCACGCAAAAGAAGCTAGTAATCAGAATTGCTCTGAAATTGTGAAACTTTAAAGTTTTAAACATTTAGAGCAATTGAATGTGAGGTCACGTTTCACACAAATTAAATACGCAAGACGTTAAAAAATGATTTATTTTTTTTTTAAAAAAAAAATTAAGATCATCTCAGATGGACATTCCTGGCTTTAATTTTTTAAAATTTATCTCAGATGCAGACTCAACATTGGTGGTTCTATTTTATCAAATTAAATTAATAATCCCTCATACTTGAAATAAACAATTATGTCCATTAACCCTAACCCCGTTTTACAATCTCCATATTTACCATTTCACAAAACTCTTTAGTTCCGAAAAATAATACTATTCCAGTTAGTAGTATACTGTTTTTTGGTTGGTTGGGATCAATGAAACAAATAATAGCACAATAATAAGAATAGTATGACCACTAATAAGGTGCATCAAGCTCGAACCTCTCACTGGTTACAAAATAATTTCTCCCCGAAGGTGTGAAATGTGAATTGTTTGGTTCTTCTTCATTTTGCTTATCTTAATCCGTTTGCTAGCTATAGTGATGTAGTATTTATTCTTGTAAACGAAGATAAAGCGTTATTCAAAATCACTGTCAACATATTTAAACACGCGTTTTTTTGTTAATTTAGATACAAAAGTTTCTTCGTACAAGTATCGTAATCACTAATACTACAAATTATAAATCAATTTCCAATGTTTTAATGATAAAAAACGATTCAATACTTTCATCACCGCCCTAACCAAGTGGTTGTTGGTACGAGGCCGGTTCTTTCGTAGAAAACTGTACTCCCTCTCTGGTCCTTAATATAAGTTATTTTGATTTGTTCAAGGTTTAATTTATTACTCCTTTTGTCCTAAAATGATTGTCCAGTTTGAGATTTCATTTTTAGTACAATTTGACCTAGAAATGAAAACTCAAACTAGACATAATTATGGGACGGAGGAAGTACATATTTTTAATCGACGAAAAAATCTTAAAAATATTTCATAACAATTAAGAGAATATAAAAAATGTGAAAATATATTTTTAAGATTTTTTTATCAATTAAAAATGTATACTAGATTAAACTTAGTCAAAGTCAAAATACCTTGTACTAAGTAGAGGAGGGAGGAAGAGAGATGCATATATAGATCATTAATGGGCAGTAACTTCATCAACGGGTTAAAGGTTTTGGACTCATGTTGTTGACTTAGCACCAATGGCTGACAGGTTGTAATACTCAATAATTTGTCAGATGCTATATATATATATATATATATATATATGTATAACAATTTGTTAAGAAGAAGAAGAAAAGAAAAGATGTGGGCAGCAGCAAATCATCAATCGCATTGGAAATCCACAGTTTAGTCTTAAATGCTCTTACATGTGAAGTGTTTGAATTATTGTAAAAAAGATGAAGCAATTTGATAACCCAACAACGTGAAATTTTTCAGTGTATAAGTTGTCACTCAACCTTTTTAATCAATTCTTCAACAAAAAAAAAAGAAGGAAAAACATAAAGTGGGGTAAAGAGACCATAAGAATTTGCTGTTTGCTGCATGAATCATCTGTCAATTCGTGGCTCATGTTGATTGTTATCTTTTTCATCTACAACAGCAATAATCGAATAAAGCTCTGTCATGATTTGGTTTAGGTTTTTGAATGAGTCAAATTAAGATTAAACTTTTTTTTCTTCTTTTTTTTTTTTAATTTTTATTTGAGTTGCTTGACAATTTGGTTGTGACCATGTGTCATCACGTAAGAGGTGATGCTTCCTTTTTGTTGCTAATAATACGATGGGTTACATAACATTAAATGAAAATGAGAAGACAGACACACACATATTGTCAATTGTGTCATGAGGAAATAGTGACTATTCCTACGTCACAATTGTGGATGATGGACCATATATTTGTGTACTTGTTGTTATGAATTTCGATCTACATGTACACTTAAGAAGAAAGGGATATCCAAAATCCTAAAACAGATTTCATACTACCAAACTTCACATGGACTATACCCTACTTCCCTTAGACTTTCGATGACCCCCCTTGTGTTTTTGTGACAGCGGGTCGAATTAAATGGTGAGAATTTTCAAATACCATATTCTTTTTTGTAATGGAAAATTATTAATTATTGCCTCACTTACATAAGTTCGATAATATCTGATGATAAATTAGCGAAGCGAGTAAAATTATTTAGATAACGCCCGAGAGTTTAGGGTTCACCAATCCCTTTAGCAGATCACCACAACTCAAGTGATCGGAATTCCATTGCCGGCCGGCCGCAGTCGGGTGGTACAAGAAAGAAGGAAGCAAAGAAGACAAGAGGCATGTGGTAAGGGCTTAGTTAACAACCATCGCCACTGTTCACCCAAACACAGCATTTCCCGCAGAAGTAGTGGTATTAAGTAGGATGCATGTGGGTATCATTTACGTCCCTCACTGTTTAGTGTTCATCACCGCTTCTTTCCATCACAATCTGCCTAAACAAAATGTCGCTCTCCCCACCTCACTCACTCACTCCTAATTAAATCCCGATTTTGCGACCATTCTTTTGTTTATTCATTTTTTCACTCATGAAATCGATTTCAGTCATAAATAACTTGAAAAGACGTAATGTTTCTTTTCATTGTATGTGATGTCGGAATACTATTTTTATGTAAGGAATTTCGATGTAATTGATTAGATATTTTGTTTTTTTTTGTCTTTAAATTGGCGCAACATTATTTACAGCAAATATTAGAATTTTTTTTCTTGATTTTATTGTTCACTCAACAAAGCATCATCGTCGCACTGTTTTCAGTACAATTCAATGACACATAACCTAATAATTTAGGGCAGTCCAATTGGGTGATTAAACCGATTTTTCAGCTAATCAATCAGTTATAGCGAATTTTAATCTAATTAATGTTTACGTAGACTGCAGATCCAGATGAATATGACAAAAAGATCTTCTGATAAACTAGAATAAATTAGAAAAAGTTCGTTGTAAGATAAGCTATCTTTTAAAAGCGGGAAAACTTAGGATTGTTAAAGCGGTTAATCAACCACTTCTCTTTCAATCGATTATGATGAATTCCGAATAGATATTTTTTCCTTTTTTTTTTTTGGTTTGGTTAACAAGTCAGTGAGGGAACTTGTTCTATCCTTTGTGAGTATACTTCCACCAGCAAATAATCATATTCAATACTATTTTAGTTTAATAAATACTTATAATTTTTAAAAAGTGAATGTTTTTTATGGTTTAGTTTCTATACATTGCCTTATCATCGCCATGATACATTGCCATAGTTTTTGGGGTGTTTTTAAGATATCCGTAAAGAGGAGAAATGCCTAAAATCAAATTACAACATTTCTTAGACGTGTTACTTACATTGCTCAATGCCTAAAATCAAATACGGTAGTTGTTTTAAGTTTTTTTTCCCGGTACAAGAACTACGAGATACTCCCTTCGGTCCTTTTTTTTTTTTTGAAAGAAACATATTTATATTTATATTACTGGAAAAGATCCAGTATCAATTGAGTTACAAAGGATGGAGGATCACTCCATATTGTTTCAATAACATATGAGGACTTAGCAAATTTAGCAAAGTTATGAGCGATCACATTCTCATCTCGTCGAATCCAAGATAATTTTCGGATGGGAAGATCTCGACACATAGATCACATCATCTAGAACTGGTGAGCAAGAACTTGGACCATCCGAATCTTGATTGGCAGCAAATATTATAAGTGAAGAATCTCCATGAACCACTACATCCGACAGACCAAATTTTCTACACAGCAGCAGTGCTTCTCGTAAAGCAAGAGCCTCAGCTAGGCAAGGATCAACTACATCTGGGAATTGACGAGCCAAACCATGCAAGAACAAGAAACTGTCCTGTGGAAGACCGAATGAAAACTCCAGCTCCTGCACATCTGTTTGAATTAGAGATCGATCCATCGAAGAAAACCATTTTCAACGGGTTGAAAAAGGGTTTTTTAGATTTTGCAGTCCAGGGAAATTCCTCTCCTGGTTTGTGGATGTTGCAGCAAAATCTTTAACCATTTTGCTTGCATGAAGGACCGTAGACCAAGGGGTGATGATTTTCTGCTCAGCGACAGCTGAATTCCTTGCATACCAGATTCCAGAAAGAAGAGCAACACAAAATTCTGTTGCTGCAAACCTGTTTTCAGGAATTATTGCTCTTAACCATTG